ACGTGCAGCTCGAGCAAATTGCCGCACGCACCGAGCGCTACTCTGGCGCGGATCTGTGCAACCTTTGCAATGAGGCAGCCATTGAGGCCTTCCAGCGAGACTTCAATGTCAACCACATTGAGCTGCGGGATTTCGAAATGGTCTTGACCAGGCAAAAGTCATCACTCGACCAGCGCCAGATCGAGAGTTATTATAAGTTTGCAGCGAGACATTTATAACATCGCGAATCCACAGATTTTGACTTGAATTTGTAAATAGATTCACTATTATTTAAGTTTGTTACTCATTCGCTATGTGAAAAGGGTATATTGGTTTCTTGTTCATTTAAATTTTGTAAATAAATCAATTGTTATTTATATTTTTATACTCATTCATGAAGTCTATATGCTTGCTTGCTGCTATAGGAGAAGAGACTTATTTTATAAATTATGATATGATTTACCAAATTTATCAAGTTGTAGAGATCAATGAATTCTTAGGTTTTTATACTCATTCGAAGAGTATATTGGCTTCGGCCATGTCCGTCTTGCTCTCCATTTGTATATGATATGTTATGATTTATATATGTATATGTGAATATGAAATGCAGTAAAAAGTCAAAAATTAAGTAAGCATGATTTTTGTTGTTGCTTTTTTGATATATTTTGTACATTTACAATTGTTGCTGCTGGGCTTAGATCGTTTCTTTGTACACAGTTTCGACATTAGATTAGATGGGAAATGCATTGGAGGTCGGCTTAGATGCTGCTGCTGTTGCTCAGCCGCGCTCCTTGGATACGCTGCGTCTATTCTGCTGGCGTCTGGGTGATTCGCGGCGCTCCCGTTCTCGGCGTGACGGTCGTGCATCACGGTCGCGTTCACGCTCACGGTCACGGTCACGCTCACGCTCACGCTCACGAGCGCGATCCCGCTCGCGGTGCCGGTGCCTTTCGCGTTCACGCTCTCTCTCCCTATCTCTGTCACGTTCTCTCTCCTTATCGCGTCCTCGCTCACGCTCACGTTCTTCATCTCGTGGTCTCTTGCCGCTGCGACTCTCCTCTTCGGCTCGTCTGCCGCGACGATCGCGCTCCCTTTCCCTTTCCCTTTCCCTGTCCCTATCCCTTTCTGGCTCACGCTCTCGCTCCCGTTCCTTGGCCGGCGATGTCTCTCGCCTGCTGTGGCCGTGTCCATTGTGCTGCTGTTGACGCGCTGGCGGCGAGCCGTCAGGCCCCTCCAGGTTGAAGTCATCGGAAACCGGCTGCTTGCTCCGGGATGCAGATTTAGTTTTCGATTTGCTGCTGTTGTTATCAGTGCGCGCAATCTTGGCCTGCGGCTCCTCTCTGCTGCTGTCGCTGCCGGAGGATGTGGCGGGAGAGGAGCTGCTGTCACTCTCATCCCCACTGCCAGCGCTGCTCGAACTGGAGCTGCTCGTCTTTGCGTGTTTGCGCTTGCGCTTTGCTTTCTTCTCAGCTGCCTTTTTCTTTTCCCTCTTCTCCTTTTTCTTGGCCTTCTCTGACTTCTTTTTTGCTTTCTCCTCCTTGCCCTTGGACTTTTTGGCCTTGCTTTGCTTTTTCGAATTCTTTTTTTTCTTCTTAACGCTCTTCTCTTTGTACTTGCGCTTGCGCGTCGGCTCACTGGAATCGGAACTGGAGCTGGACTTGCTGTCGCTGTCCTCGTCGCTGGTGGTGTCGACCTCGCTGCTGCTGTCGTCACTGCTGCTGCTGGAGGAGGAGGAGTCGGAGGAGGACGAGCTGGCAGCTGGAGCCGCTTCGCCAGTGGCATTTGGATCCTTGAACGGATTACCGCTGGCCAGCAGCTCAGCATTGATGGCCGGCACTGTCTTGGGCGCGTTCTTCAAGAATCGACGCAAATCATCCGTCAAGCCGCCCAAGCCGATGGATGTGAAGAAATTGATGGAGAAGCGCGTATTACGCGGATTATCCTTGGGAAACAGACCCGCCAAACTGTCCAGCAGCACTTCCTCCTTGAGCTTCGCATTCAACTTGCCCAGACCCATATATTCGGCCAACTCCTGGAATAAGATCTTGATGAAAATGCGACTCGACGAGGTCGTATCATCCTCGTTCAGCTGTATGCACTCCAGCACATCCCAGCTGATGGCGTCCGTGAAGAGCAGATGGGCAAAGAATTTGCTAACGTTGCGCAGACGATTCGTGTCCAGGCGATGGGTCGTCTGATAGGTGTCCTTGAAGATCTCCTCGAAGGGCGGTATATAGATCTTGTTGATGCTGCAGAAGCGCTGCGCCAGCAGCCCATAGAACTTCTCGTAGGTGCGCTGCTCGGCACAGCAGTCGAGGAACATGTGACATAGCTCCACCTCCTGGCCGGGCTTCAGCTGCATCTTCATCAGCTTGTGCGCGCACTCCTCATAGTCCAAACTGGAATTGATGGTCAGGTAGATGGTGCGTCGCAATGCGATCAGATTCGTTTCGGTATTGTCAATAATATCGCCAGCGTCGGCCTTCTTGCCATCTGCATCGTTGCCTGAGCCGGATTCACCATCCGAATCACTGTCCGAATCCGAACCAGAGCCGGAGGAGCTAGAGCCCGAGCCACTGGCATCGCTGCCCAATATCTCGCAACTCAGCGCCTTGTACTTCTCCTCGTTCTCAGCATAGTTCTCGTCGAACTTAAAGACATCTGCAAAACAGAATCGAAAGATTAGTGAATTTCTAGAGGAGCGTTTCCATAGTTCACTCACTCAGTATATCCTCTGTTTCGGTGGCCTCGTCCAGCATCATTAGATGCGTGAATTGATCATCCTCCTCCACGAGCTCCAGATCATCCACAATAGCCGGGTGATCCTTGAAGCCATCCTTGCGCACCTGGAAGAGCACCTCGATCATGTACTGCACGCGTCTGTCCAGCTTGCCCTCATGCAGAATGTTGCGCAGCATCTCGAAGATGGCGCCAATGCCCTTGGAGGAGACCTCCGTCAGTTTCATGCCGCACTCCTTCAGAAAGGCTATGGCTACCTCCACGGAATCATCGGTAGGCATCTCCACGAGCAGCGTCAACATCTCCAGCGCCAAAATCTCATGCGCAACCCGTTGGTTAACCAGGTGGGCTATGAATCGCGTGGCAGACATGCAAACCAGTTTGTCGTTGCGACGAAAGGCGCGACGGAACTGGATAACCAAACGCTTCAGCAGTAGCTCACCAATATTTGGAAACTTGGAGTTGATGATGGCCACCAGTGCCGCATAGACATGTGTGAAGGTAGGCGACGCCGCCTGCGCCTGAATGATGCTACGGCAGAGCAAGCCACGACCTCGCACAATATTCTCACGTAAGAGTTCCCGAGTTATGATTGCGATATTCGTGACGTTGACCTTGTTGATGTAGCCATGGATGGACTTCTTGAGGGCCTCCCAGGCGATGCGCTGATACGCCGCCGAAGCCTTATCCGTGATCTCGGCCTGCATGAGGCGCAGCTTGGCCGGCGGTATATAGGCGCCGCCAGTGCGCGAGGTTAGCAAATCGACAGTACGACGCTGTCGCTCGCTAATCTTGGCCGCTGGCTCGCTGACGGTGGCATTGTCCGCATTCTCGGCTGGCGGCGTGCTGGGTTTACTTGCTGCAGAGGACGGTTCATCACTGCGCCGGTGACGCTTTTCACGCTCACGGGCACGTTCCTCGTCGCGCTTGTCCCGCTCCTCGTGACGCTTCTGACGCTCAGCACGCCTGCGCTCTATGGAAGTGGAGCGGCGTCGCACTGGACTCACGCTCCGGCTGCGCGGACTGCGTGTGCGAGTGCGCGTGCGTCGGCGTCGCTGGCGACGTGAGGGACTCGTGCTGTGGCTGCGACTGCGACTGTGCGATACTTGTCGTCGGCGGCGTCGCTGCTTCTTCTCCTCCTCCTCGTCGATGGATCGACTGCGAGTTCGTCTCCGCACCTGACTAGCTATTTGCGGCGGTTGTCTGATCGGCGGCACCTGGCTAATGACTGACTTCAGTTGCGGCTCTTGCTCCTTAGTCACGTTGTTGCTCGCATCGGCAGCTGCTGTGTCTTCCACGGGCCGAACATCACCCTCCTTCTGCAAAGTTGACATCATATTAGGATAAGAGAAATTAAAGATTGGGCAGATATTAGTCTTTAATTTTTATCTTACATCGGTAATTTCTCCCTCCTCTACATTACTGTGTGCGGGACTAGCAGCAACGGCCTTTTCGCTCGTTCCATTCCCATTGCTGGTTGCAGCTGCCAATATCTTCTCTTCCAGCGGCTGTTGCTTATTGTGCTCCTGCTCCTGTTCTTGCGCCTGCTCAGGCTGCTCACTTGGCAACTTGACTTGTTGCTGTTCCTCAACTGCATCTCTTGTTGCCTCTTTTATTTCTACCTCTGCAGAACTTTCAGGCTTAGAGGCATTTTCTTGTTCTTTCCGCTCAGACGTGTCAGCAACATTTGCTGTATTTTTGTCAACAGACTTGGCTGCTTCTTCTTCCCTATCACTTGTCGACTTCACTTTATCCTTAACATCCTTAACCTTATCCTTGTCTTTGCTTGTCGCTCGCCTGTTTGCTTGTCCCACGTCTTCTTCTTCTTCTCCCAGCTCACTTGGCCGCTTAATGCTGCTGCTGCCAGCGTTGCTGTCGTCGCCGCTGCTGCTGCTGCCTTTGCTGACGCTGCCGGTGCTGCTGGTGGAAGCACTACTGCTGCTGCTGCTACTGCTTTGACTGGAGCTATCGCTCGCATCACTTTCGGCATCACTGTTGGGCATCCTTTATGCCGAATGTATAATTCTAATGCGTAACTTGTCGAAACTGGGTACTGAAAATTTTTATAGCTAAACGTTGGCAAACGCGGCCGCTTGGTCAGCGGTTGCGATAATATAATGTATGGCAGCCCTTAAGATTGCCGATATATTTTTAAGAAATATTTATCGATATGCCCAAGTCATTGTGGCGGCTATTCGATAAGTTTGCCGCCAAGCTAGATTTGAAAAATAATGTACGATTTTGTTAATAAAGCAGTCGTTGACAAAATAGCCAGTCGTTTTATACAAAATTCAAGGAGAAAAAATGTTTAGCTTCAGTTTATATTTTGATTAAGTCGAGAGTAGATCATTTAACGAGCTCTTCGCACATTTACAAATATAACTTTTATTCACAAAACGGTGTTATAATACACTTTACTCATAACTGTATACTTTTTTTTTAATTTTTCGGATACCATAAAATTTAAATTTTTGCCAATCGAGTGGTGAGCGATACAAACTGTTGCTATTTACTATATTTTCCGTAATAATTTTCGTAGACATGGCATTGAATCGTCGTCTGATCAATGTAATTTCGACAAATAATACGAAAACCACTTGGTCCCGCCAGTCGATCTTGAGCTGGTGCAATCAATTCCTAAGCACTGATATTCCGAAGATCGATGATCTGTGCACTGGGGCAGCCTATTGCTGCCTCATGGACATGCTGGTGCCGGACTGTATTAACCTGAACAAAGTGAAATTTAAGTGCTACCTGGAGAACCACTACATCAACAATTTGGCCCTGTTGCAACAGTGCTTCAACAAACTAAAGATCAACAAGAGTATTCCAATCCATAAGCTGGTCAGAGGCAAATTCCAGGACAATTACGAGTTCGCCGTATGGTTCCGTTTGTTCTTTGAGGCCAACTTCCATAAATTGCCTGAGGGCTACGATGCCATGGTCAGGCGCAACTATCAGACATTCACCAAGGAGCTAAAGTCCTCCATGCAGAAGGTCCAGCGTGCTGACACGACCGTCGCCATCACACCGAAGGGGACACGCGAACGCGCCCACTCCCGTGATCCGACCATGACGGAGCAGACGGTCCGTGTGGCGCCCATAACGGGTATAGCCAGAGCCCGAGCCATTGGCGGGCAATCGACAAACTTGAATCGATGTTAAAATATTGTTGAAGCTATTATCGAGTTGTGATGGGACTTATACATATGTAGCTCAAATTAAAAATCTCGAATGCATTGCAACAAAAACATAAATATAGCTCTATATATTCTGCTTACATTCCTCTCGTAGGTCAATATACATACTAAATTAGGATTATGCTAAGAAAATGGATCAATGGACCATCTAAACTCGCTCCGGCCTTGTGGGCGCTGTTTCTGGCCGCTTGGGCGTCACATCGTCATCGCTGCTGCTGCTCGAGGAGGAGCTGGAATCCTCCGCCTTGGCACGTTTCTCGGGCACTGTATAGGGAAACTGTTGTGACTTCTCCTCGACGGCCTGCTTGAGGCGCAGCAGAGCCGTGCGATTGATATTTTCGAGGGAGACATCCTTGATGGCGTTGGCCAGTACCTCCAGTGCCTTGTCCGTATTGCCCTTGGTAGTCTGTATGTCTATCAAACAGGAGTACGCATTGCCAATGGCGCCTTCGCTGATCTTGCTGCCGCGCAGCTGTGAGATCACCGTGGAGGCCAGCTTCTCGTCCTGCTGCTCGCGCGCCGTTTGCAGCACACGCTGGAACATCAGACGCGGCGCACTCGATAAATGCTTATCCCAGATCTGCTTGGAGGCCACCTCCTGGCCGTTCGATATCAGATGCATCCACAGCACGTTCATCGGGCCGAGCTGATTGTGGGCGGCGTATTTCTCAGCCAATGTCTCGTCTGGCAAGAAATTACACATTATTTACAGTTTATAGCGAGTATGAAGGATCTACTTACATTGAGCAATCAGTTCGGGATGTTTCTCCAAGATGCCGACGGCGCCGCCACGTGGGAACTTCTCGGCCAATTTGCCCGCCTCCTCCGACGACTTGACCGCTTCGATCTCTGTGCTCAGCTGCTTGAGGAACTGTTCCGCCTTTCCAGCCACAATGTAGGCGTGGCAATAGCGATTGTCAAACGAAACGAGACGCTTCTGCTCATCATTGAGCTGTTGGCCAATGCGCTGCATCACCTCCAGATCACCCGAGGCAGCAATTTTGTTCAGATAGAATTTAAAGATCTTTGGCTGTGGATGCTGCTTCTCAGCGAGCAGCTCCTCTACGTATTTGGTGGCCTCGCTCAACCGATCGGCACGCACCAGCAGCTCAATTAGTCGTGATGTATCCAGCACATTGAATTTATCCCCGCTGAGGACGCGCTCCTTGAACGAAATTGCGGCATCCGGATCGTTGGCCTGGATGGCACGACGGAAACCGGCAATGTTGGAAATGGGCTTGGCTGCAGGCACAGCCTTAGCTTTAGGTTCCACCTTGGGTTCTGGAGGGGATTGCACCACCTGCTCAGCCACGTTAGCTTCTGTTTTGGCTGGCTTGTTGCGTTTGCTCTTCGGCTGCTGCGTTTCGGGCACCACGAAGGGCACGTCAATATTCTTGCGTTTGAGCAGCTCCGCCAGCTTGAGCAGGAATGCATCGGTGGGCGTGACCCCCTCCTCTTGCATTTTAGTCCACAGTCCGAGCGCCTTCTCAGTCTCGTCCGCCTTGTCGTAGCTGAGCAGCAGCGTGTAGTAGATTTTATTGCGATCGATGTGACCCAGATCCTTGGTCGCCTCAATGAGACCCTCCAGCGGCTGCAACATGCCCTCGTTCTTGTATCGGTCGCAGGCATTGCTGATGCGCTGTGGCCGGGTGCGCAGTCCCGGTGTCTCCAAAATCTTTCTCGCCTGACGCACGCGTCCGCACTCGACGAAGGAAAACACCAGATCGTACAGGCTGTTCACCTCGCCGTGTATGCTCGTGCTCAGATCCGTGAGACGTTGCAAATTGGCCGCATCCTCCTTCTGGATGAGCCGGCAGGCCAGCTCGTTTTTCCAGGGCGTCGCCTTGTACTGCTGGCAGATCTGCTCAAAGGCATCGATGGCCTTGGGTATATCGTCGCGCGACAAATGCACCTTGATCAACGGCCCCAGCAGCACATTCGTGGGCACCACATAGTTGCCCGCAACGAGGGCATCAAAGACCACCTTTAGCCGCTCCGCATTGCCGGTCTCAGCGATGCTGTTGAGGATGCGCCACACTGTGCTCACATAATTGAAGCTGCCCTCACCGGCCTCAACGGCGGCCTCCTTCTGGTTCTCCTTGAGCAGCTGCAGCGCCTCATCCACACGCTCCTCCTGCAGCAGCAAATCCGCTAGCCGCACGGTCTTAAAGTTATCCAGCTTGAAACTTGCGTCCGCCGTGCGCAGCTTGTTGTACTGCGCCAGAGCGTCCGACGTGCGCTTATGGTGCGTATACAGATCGACGAGCTGGGCATAGATGCCGATTGGGATCTGGAATGTGTCCTTCTCGAGCCGCTCGATCACCTGCAACGTCTTCTCAAGGTTCTGCGAACGGAAGCAGGCGTTCAGCAGCTGGCGCTTAATGTTGTTCGAGTTCTCGCCCTTCGCTTCGACATTCTTGATGAAGCGTTCCAGTTCTAAAAACATTTAATAGATAGATAATATAATCAATATATTTAAATATTAATCACTGTTACTCACCGTCAATGGTTAATGTGTCCAGGGAACGCTTACCACTGTTGGGCAATGGAATCGGCTCCAATTCGCCCGAGGTAAGCTTGCCTAGCTGCTCCGCAATCTTCGGTGTCATCTCAGAGCCGAGTAGCTCGGACAGCGCCGTCGCTTTGCCGCTGCTCAGGGACAGACCCTGATTGACCAGGCCCTGCAATATCTTCTCCAAAGTGGGCACGCGCTCACGCCGGAAATAGATTGCCGCATCATAGACAATTTGGCCCACGACATCGGGTGTCTGGCGCTCGGGAGTGGCTGGAGCTTCGCCATCAGTGGCGGCTTCTGCTGCCTCCTCGGTGGCCTCTTTGCCGGCACGTAGCTGCAATCCCTCGTACACCTGACGCACGCAACGTATGAAGGAGGCAAAATCATTCGTGTGAGCCAGAGCCAAAATGAGCGGCTGACGGAAGATCAGAGGCATATAGTAGGCACGATTCTGTTCCATAATCTTGGCAGCATCCGCTATATGATGGGTGGTCAGAGCCGCATAGACAGCAGACGAAACGGCGGTGGAATTGGGCACACCCGCATCCCGGAGCACGGTGACCACACGATCCCAGTTCTTCTCCTTCAGATTGGGTATGACATAGTCACGCACCGTTTCGGAATTGGGATTCAATGCGAAATCCTGCTGCATGCGACGCACTACGTCCAGCACCTGGTTGGAGTCCACGGAGCAAAACAATGGCCAAAAATAATGCTGACGTATGGGCAGACCAAGGTTCTTCATCTCGTGCAGCAAGGGAAGTGCATTGTTCATCACGCCATTTGTCAGACCCGCCTCAGTGGCAATGGTCAGCGCCTTGGGATTCAAACCCTCTGACTGGAGAGTGCGACAAATGCTCAGGATCTTCTCTACAGGACGATTGGCTTTGACCAGCTGGCGTATGAAGAAAGCACCCACATCAACCGGTTCCCCGTTGACGCGTGAGTTGCGCGGCATCAGTCGTAGCAGCTTCAGAGCCACATCCTCCTGGCCCTTGTTGACCAGACGCAATATAATGTTGACCGCATCCTGGTTGAAGCCGGGGGATATGCGCAGCTTTGACAACACTGCGTCCACATGCTCGCCATTTCCATGCACCGCCAGCGTGTAGGCAACATCCAACAGATCCTTGTCCAACAGGATGATCTCCTTTGGCTCGCACTCGGCGAGCGTCGATTGCAGTGCTTCGATATCGCCGTGGCGCGCGAAGGCGCACAGGAGCGTCGTATAGGTGTCGGCAGTAGGCTCCAGCCCAGCCTGCTTCATCACACCCAGGATGCCCCTAGCGGACTCCAGATCGTTGGCCTAACAAACAATATATATTGAAAGGATTCAGTTGAGATTTGTTAATAGAAATGACAGGGATGGACTCACCTGTGAATGTCCCAGTATGAGGGAGTTGAAGACATTTTCGTTCACAGGCAATTTCTTGCCGCGCATATACTCCAGGATGCGTGTGGCTCCCTCGATGTCGCCCTGCTGGCAATAGCGCGCGATCAGGCGCTGATAGGTCACACGGTTGGGTTCGATGCCCTTGGCCTCGATTTCGGCCAGGAAGTCGGTGGGCGCGAACTGATGCTCGTTCTCCAGATAGACGCGCAGAAGGGCATTATAGTGCGATATATCCATTGGCACATTCAGAGCATTCAGAGTTTTCCAGATCTCCTGGACCAAAGCAGTGCGCACTTCAGGCAGCTCCTCGGGCACCAGATTGCCACAGCAGCGTATGACCAGCAGCGACTGTGAGCTGGTCGCTGTGCGATGTGTGCGTATCTCATCCAATACTTCCTCCAAATCCCTTCTGGATATGCGGCCCATGCGACGCGCATCCTGATCCAAGCGACGAATTTGTCGATCTAAGGTTACCTCTGCCTTGCTGGCGGCAGCATTGCTAGCAAAACCACTAGTAAATAAAAGAGAAATAATAAATATTTATGTCAGTTTTATTAGCATCTACTCTTTGAGGTTATGTAAATGTGGGCAAGCATTTAATACTATTTTCTCGAAGAAATCAAAAGCCAATTACACTTGAATGAATGATCATATTGGGCATTCATAATAGTGCAACAAGTGATGTCATTTTTCAGCATCGTGTTGCACAAATAGCCGTATGCATTGCGTAATGCCGGGCAGAAACTTCGAAACTTACTTCTGGAATTGTCCGCACATGCAGGGCGCTGATTGAAGGAGATTGTTGCTCTCGCAGTCGCGCACCGAGTTGACCACCACGTTCCGCGTGAAGCCTGCAAAGTAACGCAACAGTTTGCCCGTGCGTAGTATGGATGCCATTATAAACTATTTATGTATTTCAGCAATTAAAAACACAATTTTAGAAACAATTGCGAGGCAGCGCGCACACCAGTAATGTAGCAGTGGGACCGTCGTACTGAAATGTTGAAAACACCAAAGGTGAAAGATGCGCACATTGGACGCAGAAATGAGCCAACAGATAAGCTTTACTGTTGACTAACAGAATACTGTTAAAAATGAACAAAATATTTGAAATAAATTCGTTATATTAACTGGATAAAAATATTATTTCTATATAGTTTTTTATACAAACCGCTATTTTGATTTGTTATATATTTAATTTGCAGAATTTATAAATTAAGTCCTTTATTACTTTTAGTCGCACTTAATCTAGTTTATATAATAAACTAATATACAATAATACATATTAAAAAATTCTTAATTTTCTATCATTTGTTTTTCTCTTATTTATTTGTTTATTTTCAAGCAAAGCTTTAAAGGGGCAATCTGTAAGAACTCCAAAGAGAGACTTTTTCAAAGAGTAAATAAATGCGCCGTTCCCTTAACGTTGCAGAGCTGTCAGTAAAGAGCAAACTCAGTATTTTTTATTTATTTATTTTTTTTGCTTGCCTCGTGATTCCATCACTGCACGCGCACAGTGGACTAGGTGTATAATCTTTCAAGCTAAATTTATTTAAAAGCTCGTATGATATTCTGCCTTAAGATTATATTCAAATTTATAAATTAACAGCAAATAACAGACGTTTCTCTTAATACGCGGCGCCACGAATTTCACAACTCATATAGAATTTTTGGAGCAGTTCTTCAACAATTTTTACCACAGTGCAGGTTTCTTTTGTCGCCAGCGCCGCTGCCTGCATTCATTTGCAAAAGATTCGTTGCACATCGCGGTCGCTTGCGCTTTTCGCTCTCTGCTTGTTCTTTCCACTTCCATTTGCGTCGCATTGACTTTGCAAAGTTTACTTACACACATTCAGTTCCTGTACTTGTGGCGGTATTTGTGCATTTACAATTTCTGCGTGTTTGTGTTCGTGTATGTATGTGTGTTTAGTAACGTTCAAGTGCTCGCGGTTTCCGCATAATTTCTTGTTTCGCGGTATCGCGACGTCACCGCGCTGTCCGTTACATTGCCGTAGGGCTATTGCCCGCTCTTGTTGCCGTTGTCGTGCTTCTGCTGCTGCTACTGCTATTGTTGGTTGTCTTTGTTTGTTGTGAATTCTCTTTTCATCATCAATTTGCATTGCAGGTGCGTTGTACTTTTACGATCGCGCTGTGTGGGCGGCGCATTTTTCAACACTGGTAAGCATCCCAATATTGACGTCGACGCCGACGCCGACGCCGTTGTCGCCGTCACCTTCCGCAGATGATTAAACTTATTGCATTCGATTGTTACACACACATACATACGCATAAGAACGCTCCCTCACACACATGAAGACGACAAGTCCGCGGCTGCATTACAACAATTACGAGTGAAAGAGCGAGAGCACATACAAAGCGTCAGAGAAAGAGAGGCAGCGCAGGGGCGTGAGTGAGCAGACAGATGAAAATTGCAATACACACACATGCACACAACATCAAATTTGCCACGCAAAAGCGGCCGGCACTTCGAAGCTTCCCCTTTCCCAAGTTACAAATATCGCCTCAGTGCTCGCGCGTGTGTTAGTGTGTGTAATTGTCTGATTGTTCTCTGTGTGTGTATGTGTGGATGCACTTGGTGCGATTCATTTGGTTTTATTACCATTTTCGTTGCTCGCCGCTGCCGCTGCTGCTGCTTGCTGCCTGCGTTGGCGTCTCCTCCTCGTTTTGGGCTGTGCTTTTGCAATTGCACGAAGCGGCCGACGGCGACGCGTTGACTTTGATCGGCATCGGCTTTTTACTGCAAAATATGGCAACTCTGACCAAACGTTGGAGAATAAGTTCTCTACCCTTTTGTCAGTGTAGAGCGCGACTTTGAAATGCACGGCAACGGCAACGGCACAAAATGTGTTTGGCAAGTGAAAGAAACTATTTACTTACAACGAAATTCAACAAAATAAATACGAAAATCAAAAACTAAAGTGATAAATACAAAAAAAAATTATAAACATAAATATATATAAATTGTTATAAATAATTTAGAAGCATTGAAAAAATTAAACCGAAAGCCGAAACCTAGTACCTCAAATGCATTAAACAATCGTTAAAAGGTTAAAAACGGACAAATTTCAAAGCTAAAACGCATTTTTCCGCATTGGCGATGACCTACGACAAAGGAAATGAAGTCACACAAATACACAAACAGACACTCGCACACATACACACAGAAACACACTCACTCGCTCACTCACTCAAGTGCAACTAGGCAAGCGAATAAGTAAAACAGTCGCAACAACAACAACAAGAACAAGAAAGCGTCAGCAATGAAAAAGCATGAGGAACAACAGTAGCAGCGATATTAACGTCGACGTCGACGTCGGCGTCGCCGTCGCCGTCATGCTTGCACTGCGCATGCACATGCATACGCATACCAATGCACTTACAATGTGTGCGCTCGTGTTGGTGCGCTTTGTTCGTTGCTTGGGTGCAAAAAGATAGCAAAAAAAAAAAAAAAAAAAAGGAAAAACGGAAAAAATTGAATATAGAGGCAAATCTTGAGAAAATATTCTAAAAATATAGAAAATGCATGAAAATTCAATTTTGAGCAAATGCGAAAAATAACAAGAGACTTTATTTAATTTATTTATAACTCAGTGCGTTTGTGTGTGCAGCTCGAATTAAATATATATGTATATTTGTTTCGCATATATATTATATTTAATAATTTACTTATATACATACCTATATAAATGAATATATGTATATACGTAGTATATATATATTAATTTATATATATTAGTGTGTACACACTTGAATTTAATATGCGCGTCATGCTCCAACGGCAGTTGAATGCACTCAACGCTGATAATAATAAATGAAAGAAAAAAACATAAATATATATATTTAATTTATACAAAAGAGATTAAATAAAATATTGACAGCTGCTTTTCCGAATTTAACAATATATACAAATATACATATACATATGTATTTTTATTTTTGCCTTTCAAATTATTGAAGAAATATGTTTGGTTTTCCTTTAGGTTTGTTTTGCCATTCTGTTTAAATAATTTATTTATTTCGTGCTGAGTCATGGACAAAATATTTTTGTGCATACCTGGCTTGCAAATGACCTTGAATTGCTGCATTATAACCACAGCTACAGACAACCAAAAGTATATAGTAAAGAATAGGCAATGTTTCCGTTGGGGGAATACATACAACTATTCTATATATGCCATATATACTATATGACCACACACACATAAACAAATTACTCATCCGTTTTCAAAGAACTCAAAAAAAAAAAAAACCAATACAAATTTATGCAAGTGTACATAAACAATTTCATAAATAACAACAATAAAAAAAAATAAAAATAAAAAATAAAACTGTCGTGAAAATTTAAAACTGCGCACGCGTTGCAATTTTTGAAGAGCACCAAAAAAAAAAAAAAAAAAAAAAAATGCAACAAAAGTAAATAACAAATTTCAATACAAAAATAAAAACTAAGGAAAAAAAAAACTATTATCAAGAAGTAACAACCGAGGCGCAGCGTTGCGCGTGCGAAAGGGATAGCAGCTGTTTGGCAGTTCGATGTCGCCTTCAAGCGGCTAAGGACAATGGTTCAAGTGCAAAGAGGATGCCGCAACGTAATGCAACAAACGAGTCAACAGGAGGAGGCGGGGAATTCTAGGCGCTGGCGGCTCGTACAGGAACCAGGGAGACAGCGCAAGGACACACCGTTTACCGTGTGTGTGTGTGTGTGTGGTGAGTTTCAATTGCATATACAGTGAACTAGCGCTAAAGTAAACTTATAGTTTTTAAGTAAATTCCGTAGAACAGCATACATGTATATGTAAATAAGATTTCAAAATGTTTTTTAACATTGAACTAGAATTTTGTGTAAAATTTTACTTAAAATCTAGTGTATCCATTTTATGGTGTATATACTGTATTGCGTATACGCGATGTGGTGAATTCGTAAATATTAAAGCATCACTCCAGCTCCATTGAGCAACTATTTTTAGTATGCAGCCCCTAAAGCGGAGTGCTACCGACTGCTACACTCTGCCCTTGAACGCACAGAATTCTCTGCTCTGGGTGCCCACACACACACACACACACACAGACACTCACACATAGATGCATCGTACACTGAAAAAAATGTTGCACTTGATTTGACTGTTAAGGATTTTAAGTAGAACCATTTGCTTTTAAATGGTTATCAATTATGATTCCATCAAGTGTGACTAATATATTATTATTGATATTTTGTTTTTATAAAAGTTAACTGAAAATTGGTTAACAAAATGAAAGAATTTATTTCATGAATTTTAAATAATCTTAAACTGCTTCTTCAGTAATATTATCTGTATTCAAAAATTAAGTTAAAATAAAAACACTTAGCTAGTATTTTCCTTGAGTGTATTTGCAAGTCTCACTCTCTATCTTTCGTTCTCTCTCCCTCTCTTGACGCGCGCTGCAGCACAGTCCAGTGACAATATCTGTGCACAGCTGGAAACCAGTTGTTTCGTGTCTGAGTAGCTGCATATGTCAAGCGAATCGAGCATTGATGCCCAAGCGTCGCCTCCCCTTCCTCCCTTCGTGCCGCCCACATAGTTGCTGCACGCCCATGCCCTTTGGGGCATGACCAATGTCCAAATGTCCTTGCTTAGTGAACTCTGCATGCGATGACATTGATTTTTAGTTATATGCAAGTATGTGTGTGTGTTTATTAAGTTGTGTGTAGGTGTGTGTGGGTGTGTGCATATGGCTGACTGTGTGTGGGTGCTTTGCGGTTTCCAATTGCAGCGGCGCCTCAGCTGTCAGCTGCATTAACATTTCAACTTGTCTTTCGAGTCTCTCTCTTTCACTCTCTCTGCCTCGTTTGTTACCTCTCTCTCTTTCTCGCTGAACTGCTTGCTCGCTTAAGGGATGTGAAAAGTGGCTAAATTAATTTTGTTTATTGACATTATAATAAATAAATAAAACACATTGGAAATTTGAGCGAAATATGGAAAACCTACTTAATGCATCAAATGGCATTGTTATTTATATTATAACGTGCTTCTATATTATCGACTATTGTTTACAGATTGAACTAATTGTGTGTTAAACAACAGTTATATGATGATGTAATTGTGCCAGTTTTCATTGGCTCAAGTTAAGCAAATCGAAACTATAAATCAACTATGGAATCAAGTTCAGTTTGAGTAGAGATAGGCTTCGGAAATGACAACTGAAATTGAATATTTATTTTACTTAGAGATAAGTTTAGTAAAAATATATATGTATATGTATATAAAGTAAGTAAGTGCCAGTTTAATTTAAAATCAACTAATTTCTAATTTCTATATGAAACTGATTTTGTTTTTTAATTAAGATACTGCTTAAGGCTGCTTGAAATATTTATTTTGAGAAAATTTTGCTATCACATTTATTGTTCTATATGAGAATATATGATGTTGAATAGATGAAGTATAGGCGATCATAGTTTGATATAATATATGTATTTGTATTTTAATTGAATTTTTGGAATTTTCTATACAGATTAACTTGTTTTATTTGCATTATTTCACTCTCTACAATACAAACACACCAAATAACAGCAACAACAGCCCGGATATATTTTGTAGAATTTATAATATAAATTTAAAAATATAAAAAAAATATATTTAAAAAAAAAATATATATAATTAAATAAAAATTCAGAAAAACTTAAAAAAAAAAAATAAAAAAAAAAAAAAATAAAAATAAATAAAAATAAAAATAAATAAAAATTTAAATTACAAATTACAAAATATAGTAAAACTGCTAATTATAATTGAAAAAAAAAAAAAAAATTAAAATAAATAAATGAATTGAAATCAAATTTTCAATTTTTCTCGTCTTTTTCAACTTAAATTAATTTCACAACGCGGCGTATGCGTAATTTTGTAATAAACATAATCTCTCGCAAATTGAAATATTTGATTGAATAGTGAAAATCCAATGGCTAGAAAGGTATCTGTGGGATACACAAAGAGGCAAGAGACAGACTTGACTCACTGCGACTCGCCAGATGCAATGGCAACAACTGCATTCTAGTTGTTATTTTTCTTTTTCGAGTTGCCGCTGTTGTTGTGGCTAGTTTTTTTTTTTTTACGCGGAGGCCGCCATTGCTGCGGCAAGTCGCGACGTTCTTCTCTCGGGCAATGCCGAGAGTCGCGGCGTTGATAATGGCGATGACGTCGTTGCCATGGTTCTTGCTGCTGCTGCTGAGTACAGTCATAGAGCGAGACATGAGCAGAGAGAGAGAGAGAGAGAAAGAGTGAGAGGAAGGGGAGTGGGAGGCTGGCAAGGGCATACTCTGCAACGTCGCATCCATAAACTACACAAATTCCTTTAAAAGCGTAAAATGCATTCGATAGATACACACACTGCGAGACAGGCCAGCAGAGAATACACACAGAACACACGAGGCGAGCATAGCCACAGATACATTCGCACAGTTGCAGATACACAGATACGGCTACAGATGCAGACGCAGATACAGATAGACCAGCTATAGTTTTCCTCTCTATGCGAACGTATCTGTAGGTGTACATATATATATGTGCTTGTGTGTGTGTGTGTGTGTGTGTCTGTAAATGTATCTGTTAGCGTATCTTTTGCAGTTGTTGCATTGGCATTGCTCATATTTACTTGAAATTCAATTTGCAAACATATCTGACGATGTCTTTTGTTTGCCTAAAGTTTCAATTGTATGTTATTGTGTTTGTTTTCACTGTTGTTGTTGTTGTTATTGTTATTGTTGGAGTTGTCTTTGCTTTTAGCAAAATTTGCAATTAATTTGCGCTGCTTTTTCTTCGAAATACGCTTCGGTTTTGATCGATTTCCACGTTGATTGTATATAAAAATATATATGTATAAACATCGAGATATATGTGTATTCATATATAAATATATATAGTTCTGAATGTACATATATGATATATATTTTTACTTATGTATTATATATTTTTGTTTTCCATCTGTCATCCTTAATTCCTAGCATTAATAGTCTGGAATGAATGTATTATTTCCCAAGTCTAACTACATATACATAAAATGTGGATTTTTTTATTCGATAAAAGCTGAATGTGAAAACTTTATATATGTACTGCTATATATAGCCCATAAATGTATATATTGTATATATAATATATAGTATGATTTTATTTTGTATATACCATATGTTGACAATATAATTGATATACCTAAGATCCCAAGTTCCTATGCCCACAATTTATTATAGGAATTCATAGGAATTGTTCAAATCATGTATACGTCCCGTATGCCCAGCATAGGTGTAGCTAGAGTAGTGGCAGCTTGAGCTAGCCTCAGCCGAATCGTCATCAATAAATGAAAAACACATGATCCCTGAAGGTGCACTCAAGCGGGCCATTAACTACCATCGTCTGGCCTTTAACTCAGTCAACTGCAGTTGAAAACCCTCTCAGGTTTGGGCCAGTACCAAAGACTGAGTGCTTCGCTTGACTGCATGCTGCACTCGGTTTTTGACCAGCTCAACTCAAGCTGTTGTCCCTGCTGCAGGCATAACTGTAACTGGAATTCGTAAAGTTTGCAGAATGACTGAATAGTTCGTATTTAGAGCGTGACACGAAAGGGGTCGCTGACTGTTTCATACCCTGCTCAGACAAGTGCACGAATATATATTCAATATTAGTTTTCAAAGTCATCAAGACAATTAGTGCATGGTACCTTCGTAGGTACTTATTTCTGTTGGCTTATGACTAGCTCTAGCTCAGGGTATATATCATGCATATGAAATAGAGAGCGAGATAGAGCGATAGAGAGAGAGAGAGAGTGTGTGAGCGAGACAAACAATTGCATTGTCAAATGCATTGTAATGAATGTCATCCGTTCATTAAAATTATGTCATTCTCGCATATTTTGACACACATTTGCACTCACACACATACTTGCACACACAAACTCATTCTCACACCCACACACATACACACATACGGAGACACCTCGTAAGCCCAACCAACAACTGCGCCTCATTAGCAATAGCAAACTGAACCACCCCGTTGGGGCCCGTCCCCTCTCTTCAACTAACGCACGCTTTGTTTCCGTTTCTATCCAATGCGATACCCTACTAAAAAGCAACTCCTCCCTCCCTCACAGACACCCTCGATTCGACATTTTAGCTGACCAATGAAAATCGAGCGACGTTCTGCTTCGAATATTTTTGCTGTTTGTTTATGGCTTTTCGCATTTTGATGGTTTAGCATAGATTGACGTAATGTCGCCTGAGTAAATGATAAGTGAAAAAAGATATAGAAGATGTAGAATTTAGAAATGGATTATAAATGTAGACGTATATGTATAAAGGCAAACACAAATAGATGTATACAGATTTTTTTATATATAGATATAGATATTGAGTTAGAGATAGAGATTCAGATACAGATACGGATACAGATACAAAGATACGGACACAAAGAGAATTTTAATAATTTGTATTTAATTTTCTCTTTCTTCACATATTATTTATTTATGTTAAGTTAGATTTCAATATTTACTATAGAAAAACGGAGATCAGTCGCTACAATTCCAATTCAGATTCCTTGGAATTCGTAATATTTACGATTCCAAGTAATTCGCTTAACTGTTATTGCAATTCTCATGAAAGTTCACGACACGAATTGCATCATTTTGCAAGTGCTTAACATTTTAAGTTGCTGTAAAGAATGAAAGTAGCTGGAATTAGTTTACATAGA